CCAAGAATAGTGAACTCCACCATTTCATGGTCACTCTGCCCAAGACAGCTCCTGACAACCACATCCTCCACCAGTCCTTCTCTGTTTGTGAAGAGAAGGTCTAGCGGGGCACCACCCCTGGTAGGCTCACTAACCAGCTGGCGTCAGGAAGCTATCTTCCACTTTCTCCAGAAACCTCCTAGACTGCTTCCTCTGGGCTGTGTTGTGCTTCCAGGATATGTCAGGGAAGTTGAAGTCCCCCACGAGAACAAGTGCCAACGATTTCGCAACTTCTGTCAGATGCCTGTAGAACTCCTCATCCGTGTCCTCATCCTGGTTCGGCGGTCTATAACAGACCCCGACCAGGACACTAGCCTTGTTGGCCTTCCCACCGATCCTAACCCAAAGGGACTCGACCTTGTCATTCCCAGCCTCGAGTTCTACAACATCGAAAGACTCTCTAATATAGAGAGCCACACCGCCACCCCTTCTGTGCTGCCTGTCCCTTCTGAAGAGCTTATAGCCAGGCATTGCAGCACTCCAGTCATGAGACTGGTCCCACCACGTCTCTGTGATGGCAACCAAGTCGTAGCCTGCCTGCTGCACGATGGCTTCCAGCTCCTCCTGTTTGTTACCCATGCTGCGTGCATTGGTGTAGATGCACTTCAGCTGGGCCATTACCTTATCCCCCCGCCTTGCCATTGTTCCCCCTGGCACAGCTCCAACAATCCTTGTTTCAGCCCCGTCCCCCTTCTTACCTAGTTTAAAGCCCTCTCAATGAGCCCCGCCAGCTCATTGGCGGGAATGAAGGGAGTTCTGAGTAGGTGTTGAGCAGCTCCTTTGTTCCCAATCATGATAAAAGATTTCTTTGCTATGGTATTTTCTCTAGGAAGTCTTTCAGGACCCAATGTTCCCACGCTAAGTAGAATATAGGAGGTAAAGCATTTAAAGAACTTAGTTTTAAATTTTAGTTTTAATAGTCCTCTTTATTAAGGAGAGAAAAAGATCTCCATGACATACTGGCAATAGATGCTTTAATAAAATAAACTATGGCAGAGGAAAAATGCTTTGAATAGAAAGAGGAAAGCAAATCTTTCACCTTGTCATGTTTTATCCTGTGGTTCATCCAGCAGGACCAGGTCATTTGACCTTTTTGTTGATAATGTCACCAAGATATTTTAGGCTAATGCTACATATCACGCGATGGCAGATGAGCATGCTGTGTGTGTCAGTGCAGCAGTTAATTTCAACCCATGCAAAAATACTTTACAAGACTAGATGGCAGAATGTCACTCATTTTTCCATGACATTTCTCATTTCCTTGTCTGTAATGTAATAATGTCTGACTGTTGTATATGTGAACCCCAACACTTCAAGAGAGGTCTAGACCACATGGCAGAACCTCATCATCTTGGATAAAAATTGTGAAAACAGATGACAAAAAGAGACAAAATATGCTATTTCTAGCAATTTGTTGGAAAACACAGTGCTCTTAACCACTTTTATCCATTTCTAAGTGAAAATGCCAGTTGACACTGGTATTAGTGTCAACTAATGCTAGCATAATGTCTGGCATTGAATCACCTCCAGCACAAGAGTGTCTTTTTGTTTACTTTGTCCATCGTCATCTCTCCAGATAAAAGATGGAAGAGCAGGGATATGTCTATGATGGTGCTCTCTGTGTGACACCAGCAGCATAAGAGATGTAGAAGACAGAATAGGGAACAGGGGTCTACGGAGGGCAGAGGAGCAGGAAACAGTTATGGTGCATATGGAACTGAAGCCTGCAGGGAGCCCCTCTGTATAAAATACACAATTTCCAAAGGCATCCAAGTCTGTAATCCTTGAGTTGGTATAAAGCAAAGTTCAGGTCCTGGGCAAAATGTTCAGAAATGCTTGGGCAGTTTGTGCCAGTCTCATTGACGGCCTCTTCATTTTAATTGCGCTAATCTGAAGAACATTGTGCGTGCCAGGGATGCAAATGACTTTAACAGAGGTGTGGAGAGAGGATTGAGATCAAGTTTGTGTCAGTAGAACTTGTATGAATGTAATATACAAATAAGATACTAAATAGAAAGGGAATGGTGATTTAGCTGGAGCAGAGCAAGAAAAATCTGATAGTATTGTCAAATACATGAGGAGTAATACTTTCTGCAAAGCCCAAATGATTCCTGTAGCCTACATCTCATTCCCCAAAGTCTATCCTAAGACATTCAAGAAAATTAATTTGGGTTAATTAAAAAGACAAATTTAAAGTGCATTAGGATATATCCACATAGTGAAAAACTATCAAGCTACCAAGTGCACTTATCTGTAGTAGCTTTTGCATGTCCCTAGCCTGCTGCAAAGTGGAACACATTAATTGGAACCGTCATGAAAGCATAATATCATTCTTTGTGATTTTTTTTTCCTTTTTTTTGTCTACATTTTTTTTCTTTTCTTACTTATATGTTCAACTTAAACAAATGCATTGAAGAAGAGTAGTCTTGTCTTGTTACATCACATATGTGTACACACCCACATTCAAGTCCCTTGTTCCTAAACAAAGCCAGAATCTTGTTTAACACCTGCCTCTATTGCTATGCCTTTTAAGAAGTGCAGAGGAGTTATTTAGCAGATCAAAGCAGAAGAGTGACAAAGGAGTAACATGGTATCAGAAACCTCCTCTGACACTGACCAAAGCACATCAGTAAAATGCTGTTGTGCAGGTACCTTCCACCCGCAGCCGGTGTCTTAGAAAAACTCAAAATGCTACCTTGCAGCTAGCAGAGCTGCTGGCTGTAGGAGCACAATTGAGGCTGTTTCTAAATGAAGATTTTTAACTTCATGAGCGCTGCCCGGTTGGTTTAACAGCAGATATTCACTAGCTGTTGTCTGATGGGTCAGCAAATGGTATCTGAAAATTCTCTGAATGCTGAGTTTTCAGCAACAGATGCGTAGCAGTGAATTGCAAGGAGCAATGCTGTCTGGTAAGACCAGAAAGCTGCCATTCTAAGCTGGCCTATAGTTTAGGATTTTTTGGAAACCGAGAAACTTACAAAAGAGGTGTCAAGGCTTTCATTGCAAGAACTGTTTACCCTCTGGAATACTAATTAGTTTTAGTATATGTGGTAAATTTAATTTCTGAATTAGTTTGTTGAGTCCAAATAGGAGCAAAACTGACTTCAGCCAAGCCTTTAATGAGATATTTTATTAACCCCAACATTTAATGAGATATTTTATTAAATATTCATTGAGAAATAACAAAATGAGTTTCTTTTGTCTTTAATTCATCAGGATATTTTTTTATGAAACCCTTAACCTGTCATTTCAAATTAATTTTGGTACTCTATTTTGATTTTTAATTTCACAGATAAAATGATCTTATTTCTACATACAACCTATTTGGGAACAATCTGAGTCTGTGAGGTATTCTGTTCCTCTTGATTTCACTGAAATCTTGTGAAGCCATAGGACAGAATCCAGAGAAATGATTAGGATTATCCCAACAGTACATTTTACAGTATTTGTATGTTAGAATTTCCTTCCTCAATCAGTGCTCTGATAATTGTTGTACTTTATACAAAAAGTTACTACAAATAAAAAAGTCTGATTCATCACTGTGTTACTGCAGAGTTGCATTATTGTTATTCCAGTGTGAGTCCAGGAGTCTAGGATCTTAACTGTTGTCTTGCAGCCATAAGTAATTCATTTGGTTTTATGTCTTTGGCAACTTTTTTTTTTTTTTTTTTTTTTTTTTTTTTAATGCTACAGTGGTATTTCAAAAGTGTAGTATTCAAAAATGGGAAGTTCCCTGTCCAAAGAGGTAGGTAGAGAACAGTTATTTTAGAGGAAGGAAAGTGCTCACTAGCTACTGAATACTGGAGAGTCACAACCTCCTTGGGAAAGATTAGGAGTGTTTTTTAATAGGATGTTATTCTTCTAGTGTTCTACTAGTGTTCTACTGATGTAATACTAGAGAGAACCAGCAACAAGCTGGTCCCAGTAAATCCATTCCAGAATTATGACACTAACACACATCCTACGTTTGATAAAGGTTGTTAAATATTTCTGATGAATTTGTATTTTGTTCTTTTTTCAGTGTCAGCCAAACCAAGACCTCACAGTGATGAATATACAAAGAAGATTCCACCTCCTAAACCGAAACGAAATCCAAACACTCAGCTAAGCACATCTTTTGATGAAACTTATATCAAAAAGCATGGCCCTATGAAGACACCACTCACTAGGGATGCCTCCTTGTCACAGGTCAGCAGTCCTGCCCCAGACACAGAGGAAGAAGAGCCTGTATACATTGAAATGGTTGGGAATATACTCAGAGACTTCAAAAAAGATGAGGATGACCAAAGTGAAGCAGTTTATGAGGAAATGAAGTACCCTATATTTGATGACGTAGGCCAAGATTCAAAATGTCAATGTGAATATGACCATCACACTTGTTCTTCTCAGTGTGCTACTCCCACAGTGCCTGACCTAGATTTCACCAAGTCTTCAGTGCCATCTACTCCCAAGGGCTTGCTTTGTGATATACCCCCACCATTTCCAAATCTGCTTTCTCACAGACCTCCACTGCTGGTGTTCCCACCAGCACCAGTGCAGTGTTCCCCAAATTCTGACGAGTCTCCTCTAACTCCGCTAGAGGTCACAAAGCTTCCCGTTTTAGAAAATGTGTCTTACATCAAACAACAAGCTGGAGCTTCTCCATCTTCATTGCCACCTCATACACCAGGCCATCAAAAACTGGAGAAAGAGCAGACAGTATCTCATGGAACTAGCACTCCTGGGCACACCTCCTCACCTCCTCATCCTTCTACCTTATACAGAACACAGTCTCCACATGGTTATCCTAAAAGTCACTCTGCCTCACCCTCTCCTGTCAGTATGGGTAGGTCTCTTACCCCTTTAAGCCTCAAAAGACCTCCACCTTATGACTCTGTACATTCAGGAAGTCTCTCAAGAAGCTCCCCATCAGTGCCTCATTCTACAGCCAGAAATACATTGCAAGAAGGAGGAAAGATGGTAAATGTCTCGGTCAGTACATATGGGTCATCATCTCAGAGTGGTTCCCGTTCTCGGACACCTACCAGTCCTCTAGAGGAACTAACCAGCCTCTTTACCTCAGGACGAAGTCTCCTGAGGAAGTCCTCCAGTGGCAGAAGATCTAAGGAACCTGCAGAAAGTAAGTTCTTGATATATTTTTTCCTCGTTCTTCCTCACAAAGTAACAGCTTCCACTGTATTTTACTAAATCAAACATTTGCAAAAAGCAAATCCCTCAAAAGTCTGAATTCTGTATATATATATATATTTATCTAGAATAAAAGTAATTATTGTTAAAATTAGTTTTCATATGGTTATATTTTAAAGATTTTTAAGCATGTATACCTTACTACAGAAGCCTGTCAGGCAGGAGTACAATTCATGGCTCAGTCTTGAGAAAGGAGTCAGTTTTATTAACTTTTCCACAGTCATAGTGGTCTCATGTGAGTTAGGGTCCTCTCAGTATCTCACATTCTTAATTTCACAGCGGGTGCTAAAATGCAGTGATTGTCCAAGAGGTCTGCAGTGAAATAACCAGACTGTAGTTGTTTTTTGGCAGAGATTGATTTATCGCCCTTACCTTTGCCAATGATCACAACGTGTATGGTGTAAACCAGAAGTATCAGCTTGAGCCATTCCCCTCTTTCCTACTGACGGCTTCTGTGCTGTGCCATGGAGTATCTCTTTCAGCTGTGGTAGTGTGACTGCTTGCGAGGCCATACTGTGTGAATCAATCTCAAAACTAACATGACCTAAAACACATTAACCGCACACAGAGACAAGTACAGGAGGAAGTTGTGCAGGAAAACCTTAAGCCAATATTGACTTTGAATATACTGTATCATAAAACCACTGTCCTGTGTGCATTCAGGTTTACACAAAGCACGCCTTCTGAGTTAGTGAAATACGGAAACTCTTAATGAAATCAGCAGGAGTCAGAGGTGTGAGGGAAAGCAAGACCTAGCACCAGTGTTTCTGGTGCAAAGAAATGTTCCTGCTCAGTGGTGCCAAAGGCAATGTCTTGCCATGAACATTAGCCATAACACCTTTTGTCAGAGAGCAAAGTGTGCTCAGTACACTTTCTCCTCTGACTTCCATAAAATCAGTTTATGAATTTGAAGTCTTGCTGCCTGCCTGAAAGGAAAGCTGTTTTTTGGAGAACAGCCAATTTTATGTTTGTGCAAGTGTTATACCTATTTGGTAGCTGTAATGTGTAAAGTGCCATGTGACAAACTGTGGTGGCTGTTAAAAGAAGGTATCCTTGTTTCCAGGGCCAGTATATTGCTGCAGAAAAGGTGAATTTTCCACTGCCTTTGCAGTTGTGTTTATGCTGCTCTGTTACCTTACTGACAGCAGAGTGGTCACAGCTGAACTCCTTAGCTCACGCTGCTTTGGGGCACACTCAGGGAGCTCACAAGAACTCCCCTTCCAGATTTTCATGGGCAGATTGTATCTGCCTTTCACATCTGCTTTACGGTCACAGAAAGCTAGGCTGGTGTTGGCAGGTCACCTTGCTCTGCCTGGTGCTGGTTGTGCCAAAGCTCAGGTGAGCAGTGGTTGATCATGAGGTGCCTGCAATACCAGGTACTGCACTGGTGTCCCTGCTAACACCTCTCCTTGGTAAGTAGCTCACTTGGTTCCTGCGTGTCTGTGATCACCACCAGCTCAACTGGGCTGCCCATCAGTGCCATCCTCAGCTGCTGAGCGAGTACGTGCAAACAGGTAAGTATGGAGAAGCTCGGTGGTAATGGCTTTGGGTTGGTGTACAAAGCCTTCCTCCTCATTCATGGGCTCCTCTGCCTCAGCCCCGGCAGTTTTATTCTTGCATCTCTGCAAATCAGGAATAATGACTGAAGTCAGAAGGTGGAGGTGAGAATGGATACTGAGAATGAGCAGGATACTGGGAATGTGAGTCAGGGCAGCAACTCTCCTTATCTGGCTATAATACTTTTGTAGCCTGCAATCATAAATATTGTTATATGAGCCATAGCTCCATGACTCAGTAGGGTTTTATGAAGTGATTACAGTAATAAAAATACAATAACACCAGATTTGTATGTTGGGTGGAAGCAAAACTGTGCCTAAAAGGTAAGGTGATTTTTGCAATTGGGACCAATTATGAGGGATGTGCTGTGACATTTAGAAATAATTGTAGTGAAGTGGTAGAGAGAGTTTGGCAAAATGCAGGCAAGACTGAACATTATTAAACATGCTACTTACTGAGCAGTGACCAGAAGTCCTCTGTAAACACCATGCTACGCCAGAGCTAGTGTTGAGCCTCACAAATTTGATGGTTTTATGCTTACTGATGTTGGCAGAAGCACTAGGTTTGGAACCTGTGGAAATACCTGCAGTGAGTGTGGCGAGTCCAGGGAAATGTCAGGCAATGCGTGTGCTTCTGTCCCATACCTAACTCCAAAAAGATCTCTATATTCCACTTGACTGAAATTGAATACAGACTATCAAAGGACATCTCAGTGATAAATTTAAAATAAATCTTGCCCTGCAGATCTGTACCAAGAGCAGCTTTTCTTACTGGCATCTCAAGAAGCATTGTGCTTCCTCTTTAGGAAGCAGAAATGTGCTCATCATTGGTCATAAATGGTAATACAAGAGTCATGAAATGGAAACCTTGTTCCTTTACTTTAAGGACAAAACATTCATTTTATAAATGGATGCCAGTGGTGAAAAGACTCTGGAGTGCAGCTGTGTTGAGTAAATGAACTGACTGCCCACCTAATCCGATTGTAATTCGTCTGGTATTTACATTATGCCTTAATCCTATGGGATTACTGCACTGAGGAAGAACCAGGTTTGTACTCAGATATTATGGAAGTCCTTTTAGGATGCATAGAAAACACATACAGGGCTAGCATTTCATGTCCTGCAATTTTGCATTGAAATGATCCACCATAAAAAAAAAAATAAAATAATAAATCTAAACCGTGGTATTTTAAAGTAGAACGTGCTCAGACTGCAACATTTTCTCACCATGATGATATGTAGTGATACCATGGGTAGACTGGACTAATCGTAAGATGTGTTAAAGAAATCTTGCCCCTGTAAATCATACTGGAAGTTTAAGGCACTCATTCAGTTCTGGATCAGTTTTTTAAACTATGAGAGAGCAAATGCATAGCATGGGACCAACTAGGACTGCCACATTTGTATATGTGTCACTTCAGTGTAATTTGGTCTTCACATGAAGAAAGATTTCCAGAATACAGAGGATAAAAAAAAAAAAAAGAAAAAAAGAAAACCACAGAAGAGCAGTTACATGGCTTTATGAAATTGTGCTAAGAAACTAAGAATATGTGCTTCTAAAATATGAAATTATTCTGAGCACATCTCAAGTAACTTTCTCATTGAATCCTCCAAGACACAGCCCTCTGTGACTTGTCTGAAGCTCTCACTGCCATATGCTAGTCCAAAAAAATAGCACAATACTAAATTTTATATTCAGATGAGTGTATTTGGAAAATATTGCAGCAGTTACAGAGAAAATTCTCTCTCATCTTTATTGTTATTGCTGCAACTGACTTTGTGGAAATTTTGCACCTGAGTCCAGACTCAGAATTTATTCCCCAGCTTTTATTTTGTGGCATTTTTGAGTGTGTTTCTTTTGGGGGAGGGGACCTGCACAACCCCTATTTCCAGTCGTGTAAAGCTGCCCCTGTCCCCCCTTCTGTATTATTTTCTTTGTTCTTCTGGCATTCCTCCCTCCACCCCCCTCTTCCATTTTATTATTGTTGAGTTCACTGGAATTACAGTAGTGGGAAATTGGGGTAAATCAGTGATATGAAGGAGATTGTCACCTCAGGGCCACATTTTCTGAAGATAAGAGCTTCTGGTGAAGCCCCAGCCGAGTTACCAAACGCGCTCAGCATCCTCAGGCTGCTGTTGTGATGTGCGTAGCCAGATTTTACAGGCAGCTCACTTACTGTGCTGTGTTCCCATAAAAGTTCTCTTGTGTGCTGTTAGCTTCTTAAATATGCATTAAGACACAATTAGGAAGGTGGAGAGAGAAGAACAAAGGAAAATAAATTGTAAGGGGAAATCAGAAATGAAAATGAGGAAGATCACAAATAAAAGCAGAAGGATGGAGAGAACCCTACAGAAAACTGAAGAAAGATGTCAAGCACGAAAAATGTGAAAAAATAAAGACAAATGTTATTAATTGTCAGTGACTGTGTGAGGTAACATGGTAGCATGCCCTAAAGTTGGCAGAGCCCCATAAAGCATAATGTCAGTCTCAGAGGTTAGAGGAAACTGTTTTAAGAGTGCCAGCTGCTGAGGTTGGGATACACGGTGCACTTTCCTCATGCCTTTGGAAGGTGTGTGTGTGCACGGCTGCTGCATCCAGCTGTGCTGAACACCACGTTGCCTTTCCTTGTAGCATATTCACTAAGTTTCTGTGTTACACATGCCCTTCAGAAAGCTGGAATTAGGCAGCGAGGGAGGCAGGGAAGGTGGGAATAGTGTTTCTGAAGCTGTTTGCTGTGTCTGTCTATTCTGCAGCACAGAAACGTAGCGCGCCGTGAAAATACTGACCTGAACTTGTTCACATCCAGGCACACCCACCTACTGGAAAGCAAAGCACTGAAGCTGCTGCTGTGTATCTGAGCTGCACTCTTATGTTTTTGTTTTTGTTTTTGTTTTTTTTTTTTCAGGGCAAAATGGTCCTGTAAACCCTTGCCACGGCTGACCAAACCTTTTTGTTTGTATACTGCTTGCTTCCATTTGCTAAGGCTCCACTTTCCTTCCAACCTCCTGGGAACTTCCTGCCTGATTTGAGCAAATTTGCGAATGTTCCTCCTAATGAACTGCACCCAGTAGTCACCTATCTAGCATGCTCTGAGCCTGTGCACGATGCATGAGATCGGCACACACGATGCAGGGCAGTTTGCTGCTGCTTTCCTTAGCTACTCTGCAGGGCTTTGTACCTTCTGGGTTTTGCCTATGGAGTTTCCCTCTTCAGCTTTTAGTCATAAACAGGGAGGAAATTTGTGAACGTGCTACTTTGAAGATTCAGTTAAAGTGATTGTAAATTGGGATGATTATTAAGATTTCCTGTTCTTGGCTGGTGCCCACTGTGTTAGGAATCTAAAATATTTTATTATAATTTGACAAATAGTGTGTAAATAGAGGGCTGAGAGGAAAAATGGTTCAACTTGTTAAAAAGGAACTCATCCCAATTTCAGACAGCTGAGGCCCTGCCACGAATAATTTGTGGAGTATTAGTGGAGACATTTTAAATGCACTTTTAAATTAATTAATTTATTTCTATGCTAGTATTTTCCAGAGAGCTTGAAAATAGCTTTGGGGTCCCCATTAGGTAGAACAATATTTTGGAAAAAGAGTTTGGGAAATGAGTCAAGTGCAAATCCTTCTCATGGGGTTTATTTGGTTGTTTAACCTCCACCTCTGTGCATTAAACACAGGACTGAGGGACGTAGGGCAGGATTTCAGTTTGTGTATTTCTAATGAAGTTAGAATGAAAAATGCTGACTTAAGGAAGGTGGACTTAATATGCCATTGAACTTTCTAAGAATTTGGGTACATTCTCAGCTTCTGGTATTCTGAAGGGGTAGGGCTTGCCTACAAGACTAGGCTGGCTATAGGCAGTGTTAGAGCTGTTCCATTGCATACCGCTCGCTATTCCTCGGCTACCACACAGCTGAGAGTCAGAGTCAGATACCGAAACTCAGAAGCTGAAATAATGTCTAACCTCTAGGTTAATATATTTTCTGTGGCTTTATATAGAGGGTTGTCATCCTAGTCCTTCAGCCCTTTATAGCCATTGATTGCAGGCAGTCTGAATGTTCTGTTCAGTCTGAGATAGCTACAGTTTAACAGAAATAACACTGCATACCTGAAATTATTCGTGAATGATGCTGTACTCTTGCGCCAGAGGTATATTGGCTGCTCCATCACAGGTGAAGCAGCTGTTCCACTAGAGGTTGTATTTTCTAGTCTAGTGACCCGTGATATACAGGGGGTTGGACCAGGTGGTCACAGCAGTCACATCTCATTTAACAGTCCTGAAAGTTGATCTGAAAGAAGAGACTTAGGTGAGGGAGCAGTGGGAAATGCCGCGGGAAGTGGATTAGAGTGAAGGAGAACACCAGCTTTGATGAGGATGACACTCACTCACCACAGGTAGGATGTGGGCTTACCACAGGTTGTTGCATTTAGTTAAAGCCTGAAGAAGTCTCTGTTCTTGCCCCTGAGCTACTATTCATTGAGATATAAACAAGCTTAAGCGTTGCAGCATCAGAAATGCCTTCTTCAGGTGCCCACTTGTAAGTGCATGTTCAGAAGAGCTGCAGTACATCTGCGCACACACAAGCCACGAGCTGCCTGCTCTGCTGGCAGCAGGTCTTTGAAACAGTGCCCTGTGCTGAGGAACCTGCCTGTTGTGATGACTGGATGCCAGCAGTAGCTGTTGGGAGACAGAACTGAAAATGGTGGAAGTGTAAACACAGGAGTGACAGGATGAGGATGTGCTCAGCATCCTTCAGGAACCAAGCTTTTGAAGCAATAAATAAATAAATAGCTTCTGCAGTTGAGTGGTGTTGAGTACTGCTTCAGCCATGCCTTTTGTTGTCCTTTACTAGTAATCCCTAAATTCCCCACTGCGAGATGGTGGGCAATGGGCTAAATACTTTGATATGCATCAGCTCGTCTGGCCAGCTGGAGCCTCTTACTTGTTAAAGGTGAAATATGTTTCCCCAATTAGCAATCACAGGAAAGAAAGCAGAAAGCAAAATCGTAACATGGCAGTCAGGTTATTCAGCTAAGCACTAAGCTAACCAACGTTTCCAAGGTTTACGCTAAGTGGGAAAGACTGAGCTGCGGAACAAAGATACAAAGATGTGAAACGTGTGAAGGGATGCATGGCAGCTCCGTGGCAGATTGCGTGTCTCTGGGTGCCTTCACTGCCTCATTGTGCATTGCGTGCCAGTAATGCAGTCCTCTCTCAGCACCAGGAATAATGCCAGGTTTGAGAGCTTGTGTTTCGAAAGGATAAATCGGTAGGTACCCATTCCTTGATTGAAATGCACACTGCACCATTTGTCGTCTTGCTGCTTTCACACAAAAGTGAGTATGTCTATTTAAAGGGCCCTTAATCAGTCAAGTCACTAAAAGGTGGGAAGTCCCCTCCACTTTTGAGATGAATGAATGTCTTTGTTACCCACAGTTATTAAAACAAAAAACACGCGGTTTGAGATGATATGCAACGGTTTTGCTAATTGGTACCATGACATTGTCTCCTCTTCTAATTCAGCAATTTAGGCTCATCAGAAAATCAGGTCCTCCTGGGATCACGACCGTATACAGAATCATTGAAGAAGACATAATTTCATAAATAATTGCTCAGGTTTTTCTGGAAACAGCTGCTGTTTCTGATTGATGTATATGGATTTATTTATTCCTTCTGTTTGTATTATTTGACTGCTCGATATACTTTCTGGGTAGCAATTTAATCAACATGTCTTTTTATGAAGAAGAAATCAACTTATAAATGGTAAAAAAAAAAAAAAAGAAAAAAATAGAGATAAAGCTACTTTCTGTTTGTTAGATTTCAAGTAAAAGATGGTTTCAGGTAAAAGACTGAAAAAGATGGTTTCTTTTGGTTTTTAATATAACAGGATAACGTTGAGTTGTCTGAAAGTTGTTAAAAATAAAGGAAAAAGCCCCTTTAATTCAGTTACTGGCAACTATTTTACAGTGTCACCAATAAGCAAAGCAACATGTGCTGCACTTAAGGATGTGGATAATGATAATAGATTCTCAGTTTTGAGTGCCATTGATTTTTTTTTTTCTTTTTCCCTGAACAAAGCTTTTTAAGCCAGAGAAATATCTTGACCTTTAGGCCAAATCCTCAGCACTTATAAATCACCACTTCTTATTTGAAGTCAGAAGAGGTACTCCAGTTTACACCATCTGTGTTTCTGGCTTCAAGAAAATAAATTTGTCCTTTGTGGCTAGAACAGAATGGGGTAGTCATACAGCAGAATGGTGAATTGGAGAATTTATAGTCTTTTTGTTTTAAATGGGACTACATAATTATAGACCAATTTGTCGGTGCTCAGTAGAAGTGGTTAAAGACATTTAATCTGGTGAAGGTTTCCATAAGCATATATTATCTTCAATGAAAGGGATAAATACAATTTGTTAAAATTTCTCACTGTGTTTTTTAGGTAAGGCAGGTAGCCATTTAGGGTATCTGGGTACTCCTTCTCCAATGGAACTAAGGAGAAAATAAATAAATAAATAAATAAAACCAAATAGGTAATCTAACTACTTTGGTTTAAGGGAATGATGCATTTTTATTTGCATAGCCTCTACTCAGGATGTTGGCGTGGCTGTATCGAATGGCAGTGGCCAGCCAGGCAGTGCAGTGTTGTGGCTCCACAGGTTGGCAGTGTCAGATGCTGGAGAGGATGTGCCCAGAGCTCAGAGGGTGGCAGCTGTGACACCTACAGTGGGTGGCTGTCCTAACCCCATGCTGCCATCCATGTCCTGGATTTGATACGTGGCCGCGTTTCATTCCTGTCTGCTAGAACAGCGAATGGCTGCATTGAGCATGGACATGTTGAAACCTTGTACCCCGGAGAGGTGTTACAGGACTGGCTGATTATTTTTAAACTGGTGTGAATTAGAGATAATTTATTTGAAGATAATATGGAATCTCATGCTAGAGGAGATGTCTGGCATCAGACAGCTTTGGTTTATAGCACTTCCATGGTGTGCTTTTCTAAACTCGTATCATGCGTTGCAGCAATTGGAGCATTAGCAGTCCTTAGTGGAATTGCAGTTTGGGCATACGAAAAGGGTATCTGTGCAGGTTAGCTTTCCAAAAGGGATAAGGTGAGTTCATAAAAGTGTGAATCAGACCAGTGGATGATGAGGTAGTGCATCTTTTGGTCAGTCCAGCCATGCTGTCAGGGTGAAGCTATGAATTTTGGGGTTGCCATCTGGCTGGCAATGCAGGGCTCCTTTTTCAAGGCAGTTGCTACATCTTTTAGAACTGGACTTTATAACCAGGGGCTGGTACCTGGAACTGAATCACTTTTTCTTTTAATTAGGATTCAAATGCATTTTTCTTTGTTTTAAAAAAGTAAAACTAGAGACCCTGAATGGGAAGGCCTACATTTTGTCTGTGTTTATTTTTAAGAAGAACAATGTTCATGAAGTGCTTTTAACCAGATGTGGCATATTCCATAGGTAGGCATATGGAGATAGCATTTCAGCCTGTTTGCTCAAATTAAATCACAAGAAATGAGATCACAGTTTTGTTTAGGAAAAATAACCAAATTCCCCTAGACCAACCTACCACCACCAACCTGAGGACTGTGAGCTTTACCAAGGTGAAACAATGAAACAGAGCTTAACAATTTCACCCAAATTTACCATGAACGCAAAAAAGAGTTTCACTAGCAAAAATCTGCAAACCCCCACCCCCAACCCCCGCCCCTGAAATTGGAATATCTACATCATAGCCAAAGGAGCTGCTCAAGATCATTTTTAAATGCAAGTCCTTTGAATGCTAGCTTATGACTTCAAACCTGGTTTCATGATCTTTTGAGCTGCTGTCATTGCGTCTTTACAAGAGGTGGAGTTTAATTAAATGCCTTATCTACACTTATAGTGAAAAAACTCTTGCTCTAAAAGCTATGTGCTTTTAAGAGAAGATGGTGGGAATTTGGGGAAGAATAAAGGAAAGAACAAGGTTTCCTCCCTCAGTTCTAAAATCCTCCAGTACTTCTGACTGCTCTTCTTGATGTTTCTTAAAACGTCTTTACCATGCTGATCTGTGTAACAAAGACTGACAATTTCTTGGGCTAAGTGGCTTATATATCCATTTTTAAAAACACAGATTTTCTGGCATGTCTGATTTGATTCCTGGCAGAGTGAGCTCAATTTTTAAACCCCGTCATTAAAGGTCCAATCCAAAGGTCCTTGAAGTATGAGATAAGACATACTTCAGGGGATCCCATTATAAATTACGGCAAGAGTGTTCCTCTTCTTGTATTAAGTTGTTGTTTCTTGCAAAACCCCTCTGCAAATCAAGGCATTTATACCTCCAGAATGTAACAGTGAATAATACAAAGTCTAAGAAAAAAATAGCATGTGGACTGCATGGTATTCCACATATTTTTTGTCAGTGTATTATCTAATCTACCCATAACACCATGATAAAAATAAAAAAATAAAAAACTCTGAATTGAGAAAAGGTAGATACGGTCTCCTTAAGTTTTCTCTGGGCTTGCCAGGAGTCTATCAATAACAAGAGAAATCACCGAGTTGGAAATAGCTTTATTTGGGTTATACACATAACTTTGATTCAAATATTGAACCCTTAAACTGTAGGAGTGTATAAACATCCAAGGTATATATAAGGTGAGAAGTACAGGAACACTGAAGAAATAATTGTCAAGATGATAATGCATATAAAAAAAATAGGTTCATTTGCATTCAATTTTCTGTGAAGGTTCAGGTTACTTTCAATTCTCTGAACGGAATTATCCATCCCTAATAATTATTTTTTGTTAAAACAGTAACATGCAATTAGCACTTTATCTGGCATTTAAGAATGAGTAAGGAGAACTATTGTTCTTGTAACTATTCATCTGAAAAAGAAAAGTTGTATGTATAATTTTGTCGGAGATGGGAATGTCTTTATTTTAACGTGTGAATTCATAACTCGAAAAGTACCTTCCTCCAGGAAATCTACAACCATTTTACTGCTTGGGCAACGTTTGTATAATTTATTTTTAATTTATATGTGTTGTAACACATACAGACACACTTGCTGTGCACTTGCGAAAGCAATAATAGTAATGTCTTGCAAGCACGGGCATCAGCCGGAGCTGTGTAAGGCCATCTGCGGTTTTACTGATTTCCTCGGGATCTGAAGTCTGTGCTGCCATGGCTTAACAGTTGCTTAGCTAGCAAGAGTAAAAAACAGTTTCACAAAATGAAACCAGTAATTAGAAAGGAGGGAGGGCCTAAAATCATTAACTTTGTTAAGAGACAGAGAAAGACAGAATGGTATGGATGTTTCATTCTGTAATCGGTAGGACTTGCAGAACAGTACCCAGCTATGGCTTGGCACAGCATCTGCACTGGAAAAGTCCATGTGCTTGTGCCTGGCTTTGTAAGGCTGAGAGCAAAATTCAGGTAAAGCCAACATTACAACAACTTCAGTCTTTCCTTTCACTGGTAGCATACTGTGATAGAAGGAAAGCTGTAACGGATCAGATATTTGTTCCAATATTGAACTGGTAAATTTTCTCATTTGCTAAAGGGCTCTATAAAGAGAAAACCATCAATAACTTATATATATATGTATATATATATGCACAGGTAGTTAAAAAAGAAAAAGAAGAAGTAATTTATTTTCTTTCCAACTTTCTATCTGATTTTTTTATGTGAAAATCCAAGGGTGAGGATTTTTTCTCCAGTTTTCACAACCAGTGCACGCATTGCTATCTTCATATTTTTTTGGCCAATGACAGATTTTTGTTTACTACCGTATGTGGATGATGCCGTATACTTTAGAAGATACGAAAGTGATCAAACAATGGAAAAACACTGCATTTGAACTGCTGTTGTAGTTCAAAGGCTGCTTTTCAGCAGAAAACTTGACAAAAAATGTTGCCAAGTTTGATATAGTCA